AAGTATTATTCGCAGTCATCAGCGGTCAACGAGCGCGTGAAAGCTGTTAACCGAAACATAATTATGCGAAAACGGAAGAATGGAGAATAAAAAAATACACGATAATTCAAATATAATACTCATCAAAATTCCACGTGACCGTGTATCGCGCATCACTATAACTCGGCGCGATACGTGTAAGTCTGGCTCGCGTAATGAGGCTCGTTACTTTATCTGGGGAAAAAAATCTATAACCGCGTTCCTCTCCCGTTTGCTTCCTGCTCGTACGAAATCGGAGAGTAACCGGAGCGGCAGAAACCGATTCACCACGCTGCCAATTAAATCCGCATTAGGTGGTTAATCTAATTTGTCACGATATTTTTCTGCTATTCCGATCCGCCTCGACCCTTCGCGTGCGAAATAACGGGTAAAAACTTGTGTCCCCCTTGTGTGTGAGAAAATCGGTAATATTTGCGTACGAGCTAGATTTCGCTTTGAAATCGTCGTCGACCGGTAACAGTTGAAATATCGACTCGAATCGAGCCTCCCAAGAATCCCGTAACACTCCCGTTTTTTCTTGTTATAGCCGAGGAAGCGGTGTCCTTATAAGCAGCTTGTTAGTCGAGCAATTTCTTTTGCTCGGCAATTTGCGTAGTTCGCACTACTTTTTAGTATTCTCAACGGCGAACGCGTAAATCTACGCGATACCAGAACAGGCTAGGGGAATCGCGTCAACATCATAATCGGCGCGATGATCAATTTTTCCTTTTCTTTTCCTTCCTTTTTTTTTTTTTTTCCTCTCTTTTTTCGTTTATTTACCCACTTTAGATCGAGGATGAAAAACTTGCTAACCTCGTAATTTTCTCGATCGCCTGATGGTTCTTGCCGATCGTTTTCTCGATAGATGCATATCCCCGTCAGCTAATTCGATCTTACGAAGAAACGCTCGTAAAGGGCGAAATTTTTGCCAGTCATCGAACTCTCAAGGACGATACCTCAAAGACCGGTCGAAGTTCGAGAAAAATTACCAAAAAACTCGGGTGAACGATCGGAAAGGGATAATCGTTGAAGTTGGCTCGTAAAGAATCTCGTTAAACATCCGATAGGATACCACAGAAATTTTAAGGGGAATCCCCCAAGTATCGTGTGGATATTTCGAGAAAATTTTTCTCCCTCGCTTTTTATCGGTATACACGGTGCACTCGAAACACGGCGCGAGTTATTCAGGTTCCCTGTTGCAAAAGTGTGCGTTGCGCGCGCGCATGCGGGCACACATGCGCGTGTATGTGTATGTGCGCACGTGTACGTACGCGCATCGCACAACGAAATCCGGGCACCCTATTCTCCTCTCTCGTATAAGGCCCCGACGTCCGGCTGACTTTGACGATCGGTTTGAAGTCGCGCATGCATTACTTACAGTCGGGACGAGGTGGTCGTGGACAAGTGTGCGTTCCTGTACGTGTGAGAATCCATTTCGCGAAGGAGAAGGACGTTGTCAGACTGTCTTCTTCGTGGGACGTACGAAGGGCAGTAAAAAACACGTCCCGCGCGGGAAAAAAAATCGAAAAGGAAGTAACACGTATATAGCGAGCAAAAAGGGGGGAGAGAGAGAGAAAAATTGAGGAAAAAAATATGGGCAGGAAAGATAGTGTGTTCTTCTCCCCGGACGGTAGACCGAGCTCACGAAAGGTTGTAAATCTCGGCCGCTTATTGGAAAATCGAAATTCGCTTTGAGGAACTGGGCGTAAAAAGAAAAGAGAGGGGGAAAAAAAAAAGGGTAAGGAATCGATGGGGGCGCGGGTAGAAAAAAAGCTGTTAGCGAGGCACGAAGACCAGTGGCTTTTTGATTATCATAAATCTGTTTCCGCAAGTTACAGTGGGAGAGGCGTATTCTTTTACTGGCGGGCTAAAAGCACGCCAAGCCTGACGTTTACTGCCTCGTTGTACTTTCGACAGGAGAATCCCTCTTTGTTACGATGAAATGCATTAAAAACGATTGGCACTGCTGCATATAACGTAATAAGTGCGTTAAAATGACATTGTAACATTTTTACGAGAAACGTTACGGGGGGGGGGGGG